ATAGAGGAATATGCATTGGGTGGTAAGCTTTCAGTTTGGATAATATTGCCCTAGAACATATAAAAGCATGAGGCTATGTTAATGGAAGTTGTATTCATAGTCATAATCATAAACTATCAAGTTAACTCCCTGGTGTATAAAGTTTGATGGATCTTTTGAATACAAAACATTGTCTAAGGGGAGAGAAAGAGTATTTTAATTTTTGTGAAGACTAAGGGACTGGTTTGAGACAGAAGGTGAAGTTCGTCTAAAAAACAAGTTGTGGGACAAATGCCAGCAATGAAAATCTGACAGTTACGTGCTTAGGTGTAGAGAGGTATGTGTGAATGAATTTGACCACCAGATGGGAGGCTCTGCACACTTGGCCTAGGCAGATTCACTTCTACACCCCATATAATGTCTTATGTGTTTTCTCCCAATTCCGTTTCAACTCCCACTTTTGGGAAATTTCGGATGGAATATATAAGTGAGGAAGTTATGAATGGCAGAGCAGATGTTGTTACTGGTAACCCTAGTGTATACTTGCTGGGATTTGGTTTCTGGATATCTTAGGAAATTAAGATTATAATAAGCCTGGACGAACCTTAGCTGAATTATTACAGAATGAATGTGCAAATTCTGCAAATCAGAAACAAAGATATTCTTTAACCTCTAAGACTGAGATGTGAGGACCTTCAACCTCCAACAAGCAAATGCTTTTTTAGGATATGAAGAGCCTATGTAGTGTCAGTCCAGTGTCTTAACTAGAGGTGGTCTGTGGGCTTGGCTTACCTGCTGAGCCTTAAAGAATGATGCTTCTCAGTCAATCTATTAGCTATTTCTTCTGGCTGGTGCCTTTTGCCACCAAACTAAACTTACACAAGTAACTTACTTGTCTCTCAATTCAAGTGGAAGAAAAGGAAAGGAAAGGAAAAGGCTTTTATGCTTAATGAGAACTACGGAATTTCAGGCCTTAACTGATAGCAACTCTCTTTCTACAGATGAACAAATTTAGGCCTGGAGGGGAAAATGAAGTCAATCATTAAAAACATAATTATTGAGGGCCTACCATGAGGCAGGCACTATGATTCAAAGTGACTAATATGGGCTCTGTCCTCCTACTGATTACACACCAGTAGGAAACACTGACAAGTAAACAGGTCATTGTTTGCCCAAGACCACATAGATAATAGTGGAAATGGCACCTATGAAAGCTGACAACAGGTAAATCTTTATTTGATTATGTCCTTGTGGACAGATCAGCTTTGTGATTTTTGCTTTGACACTTATATTTAGTGAAGTGTCCTTCATCTTAATATCTAAAGCATAGAGTGTTTGCACAGAGACTCTAGGTAGACCTGTGGGCTCACACTCCCTTCTGTGAGCAAGCAGTATCCCCACAACCTGTGTAATACCTGCACATCTACCAAGGTCTCTTCCGTAGCCTTGAATGGTTGGGAACATCCCTATCCACCACTGCCACCTACGGACTCTCTGGGGGTACTACCAGTTCTGGTTCTATTTCCTGATTTTTTTTTTTTTTTAAAACTCTTGGGGCTCTGACTCTGCAAGAGATGTGCTGACTGTGTGAGCTCTTTGAAGGTGCCTTGGATCTTGAGATCCTGTAATTCTACAGTTACCTTCGACTTTAGAAGGTAATATTTGCTGTGAAGTGTGTAAACCTGGCGATTCACAGACCTGTACCCCTGGGGCTAATAATACATTATATGTTTATAAAAAAAAAGGCAATATTTATCTATTGCTGAGCAAGAAACTTACTTGATTCCAAATCAATAAAACTTTGATGAGATCTTCCAAAAAACTAAAAAAAGAGAACACACCCAGGAGCCTGGGAAGCACAATAGAAGTGTAAAGAGCTTGGCAGCAGGGTAGCGGGGCAGGAGCAGCTGTGTTGGAGCAGCAGCCCTGTAGGAATACTTGTTAGTCTTTTAGGGGTGACTCTCCCCCCTGCAGTTGTATACCACTTTCTTGCTAAGTGCAATTTCACTTGATTCTGTTGCAAATGATACGCTAAGTGCTTAATGGAAACCTTTTCAGCTGCTACTTACATCAGTGTTGTGGAATAGTCAAAAGATTTCTTAGGAGTGTACCAAATTTGTTTATAGTTATTATGAAACAGACAAAGCAAATCAATGCCAAATGTTGATAAGAGAGTTCACTTTGTTTACTATTGTCACATGTCTTTCCATGTAACCAGCAAAATCCCAGACTCCCTTGTTTTTCTGGATGCACAGTCATACTCCCAGTACTGTTTAGCAACCCTACAGGCCTAGTGCTAGAACCTATGGCCTCTGCGAGGGCTACAAAATTATTTGATATGGGCACCTGGGTGGCTCAGTTGGTTGAGCGACAGCCTTCAGCTCAGGTCATGATCCTGGAGTCCTGGGATCCAGCCCCACAGCAGGCTCCCTGCTCAGCAGGGGGTCTGCTTCTCTCTCTGACCTTCCTCCTCTCAATCTCTCTCTCTCTCAAATAAATTTTAAAAAATCTTAAAAAAATTTTATTTGATATGAAAATCGTGGTTATGACTTTCACAAGAAAGCACAAAATAGATTATTCTTTTTTTAAGATTTTATTTATTTATTTGAGAGAGAGATAGTATGAGAGGAGAGAGGTCTGTGGGAGAAGCGGACTCTCTGCTGAGCAGGGAGCCTGATGTGGGACTTGATCCCAGGACTTCAGGATCGTGACCTGAGCCAAAGGCAGTTGCTTAACCAACTGAGCCACCCAGGCACCCAGGAAAGCACAAAATAAAAATTAATAATTTAATGTCTATGAAAATATACCATTTATTTTTAAATTTAGTATCCATAGGAATTATATTACATTTAAGAATAATTTGAAGGTCAAATTTTTTTCCCTTGCAAGAATTTCTAAGTATGTGTGATGATTGCCAAAAAACACCCTACCCAGTCATAAATTAAATGAATTACTGAGAAACAATTTGAGAAACAAAATTATAAAAATCAATCCCCCCCCCTTTTTTTTTTGAGAGGGAGAGAGGTGGATAGGGGCAGAGGGAGAGAGAGAATCTTAAGCAGACTCCACACTGAGCATGGAGCTGAGGCAACATGGGGACTCAGTCTCACAACCCTGCGATCATAACCTAAGCCAAAATCAAGAGTCTGACACTTAACGGACTGGGCCACCCAGGCACTCTATAAAATCGGTTTCAAATTTACAGTGAAAATAATTTTTATTGTTGAATGTGAGGGTATTCACATATATTTGATACAATGTATAGGAGTATGGTGATTTTTGTCATTCCAGTTTAAGTATATGGGCTGCCAAAGCAAGCATGGACTACGGTGGTTTTTAAAAGCTCTGAATATTCTTTAAAATTCTCTCCAAAGAACTAAAAGTATAATCAGAAACTACCTGCTGCAAACACCAAGTGTCTTTCAATTCTCAAATCTTCAAATTTCATAAGAAATAAGACCTTAAAAGTTCATAAAAAAATTGTTCTCTGTTTTGTTATAATCTGTATTTGCTTAATTCCATTTTTAATTATCCATCACTGAGTTAAAATCATGCTCCAGGAAGAAGTACCATGTTTACCTTGTGGGTGTGTTTGAGTATCTGGCACACCACCCCAGGGATGTGGGAGTTCTAGAGTTTGAGACTGACAGCTCTTTCCTGAGAGATAATGGCAGCAATCCTCTTCTCTTTCTTCTTCTTTTGAGAAAGATTTGAGAAATCATTGCAGCAAGTTGTAAAGCCTTTGACTTGATGAAGAGATCTAAGGAGGGGGGCCAGGCTGGCTCAGTTGGTAAAGCATGTGACTCTTGATCTCAGGGTTGTGAGTTTGAGCCCCATGTGTGGCATAGAGTTTACTTAGAAAAAATAAAAAAAGGTCTAAGGAGTTGTTTTGGGGTTTGTTTTTGTTTTTACCACATGGTAACGTCATTTGCCTGTGGTGTTGTCTATATACATGTGCAGGGAAAATTAGGTAATATTCTTTGAGAATAATCCAAGGTGTTTCCAATGTAAGAGGCACCTAGGAATAAGCTTTTATTCTTTTTCTAGTCCTTTGTAAGAGTTCACCCCAGAACCACTTGTAAACTTTACATGGGTTCTTCCATGTTTCTCCCTGCTCTTTCTCAATGGTACATCATAATTGCACCTTTGGCCATGAAACATCTACTTCTTGGGAAACTAGGGCTGCCTCCCTTCACCTGAGGATAAACTGCTCTCAAATGCTCTCCTCACAGCCCGCCGACTAACTATCATGATTGCCCAGAATCCTGTCTTCAACAGTCCTCTGATTGAGCCTTCCCTGGGCTCAGGGTTCCCTAAAAGTCCCCCTTCTTCATAGCTCTCACCTCTTATCTTACTGTCTCATCTGAGGAAATTGGAGCTCCCATCCCTTCTCCATGGATGCTACATCCTCTTTTAGGGAGGTATTTGGTGTGTCTTGATGGTCTTTGTGTTTCTGGACCTAGCACAGTGGTCTGATACCTGCAAGGGCTTGTGTAAAATTTGTTACTACAGTAACTGATAAATGAGTGAAAGAGTGTGAATGGGTTTTGTAATGCTACGCTATGGTAAATAAATACTCACCAATTCTGAGGGATAGAAAAACATGGTTGGCACATGAAGTTGTGTTCAGGAAACTTTTTAAAAAATATTTATTTATTTATTTATTTGTCAGAGAGAGAGAGAGAGAAAGAGAAAGAGAGTGAGCATGAGCAGGGGAGAGCGAGAAGCAGGTTCCCTGCTGAGCAAGGAGCCCCATGCAGGACCCTGGGATCATGACCTGAGCTGTAGGCAGACACTTACCCGACTGAGCCACCCAGGTGCCCCTCAGGAAACTTTTAAATAGACTTTCCAAAGAAACAGATTGATGAAAAGTTTGAGATTAATGAGGAAGAGAAAAGAAAAGATGTAATTAGGTTACTGAAGATACTTGATTCATGTAAGAGAGGAAGGTCCCTGTACTTTTAGCCTGATTGGGCAATGCTCTTCTATACCCCTACCACACCTCCTTTTGCCTTTGGCAGGATCCTTTACTGGAAGAGATGATGGTGGGCCTGGGCTCCCTGTTGTTGGTCTGCATGCTGGGTCTGGGTCTGACCCCACCAGCCCTGGCTCAGGATGACCCTAGGTACAGAAGCTTCCTGACCAAACACTATGATGCCAAACCATGGGGCCGGAATGACAAATACTGTGAAATCATGATGAAGAGAAGAGGCCTGACCACACCCTGCAAAGACACCAACACCTTTATTCATGACAACAAGAACAACATCAAGGCCATCTGTGGAAATAATGGAGAACCTTACGGAGAAGGTTTAAGACTAAGCAAGTCTCTTTTCCAGGTCACCACCTGCAGGCATAGGGGAGGGTCCCCTCGGCCTCCGTGCCAGTATAGAGCTACCGCAGGGTTCAGACACATTGTTGTTCGCTGTGAACATGGCTTACCTGTTCACTTTGATGAGTCCTTTTTCAGTCCGTAATCAGAGGCCACAGCTGGCTCTGCTCTCTTTTCCTTGCATTTCTCTCCACATCCCAGAATGGTGGTGGCAACTTTCATGGTCAGGGGCCCAGAGAATGAGCTGCCTGGATCTCTTGTTTTCCATTTTACAACATGTTCAATAAATAAAAATGTCTCTGAAATCAGTAAGGCTCAGAGCCTTCTCACTAATTATTGTCCTATTAATCTTACCCATTTTCTCCATTCAACTGCTCCCAGAGAGGATTGGATAGAATAGAAATGCCCTTTTATTATCAGTTCCTTATCAGTCAGTAAGGAGGTGGACTTTAGCTTTCTGTAAAGGTAAGGTGGTTAGATTCATCTTGCAGAGAGAACTAGGAAAACTCCAGGGCTCCCGGCAAATAACAGAAGGGGAAAAGAGAAAGGGGAAAATAATAAGCCAGTATTACTTTTACAAATGTTAAACCTTGAGGAGAACAGTTTAAGAGTAAATACCAATAGATTCATTCCACTTTCTTTCACACACGTACTTGTACATGCACTCCTGCATGAATTCCAAAAGGCAGCTACCACTCCTCTTAAGTAGGAGGTAATTTTTTGATGTTGCTTTGAATGGAATGTTCCTAAGATATTCTCATGGCTATTTTATATAAGGATACAAAAGTGATTATTTTATTATTTACGTATTTATTCATTGTTACATTATTTTTTCCTTAATCTCTTACTTTATTGACCAATGTCTGGTAACTGTCCTAGATCATAGATTCCAAACATTGTCCCTTATTCTTCCTCAACTAGACTTGATTTTCAAGTAAACATATGCTTAGGTTGATAATACTCTCTTTGTAAAATATACTAACGATCCACAGGTTGAGCGATTAACTTCCTGTTAACCTAATTTCTATCAACTGCTGCCTCAATATTTTATTTGGAAAGTAGTTAATAAATTACAGTTATAAGTCACAGTTTTGCTATTTTGTGAATATATAACTATAGTGGTCACCATATTCCCAATGGTGGCCTCTCCTGCTGCCCACATTGCCCTGAAGTAGGCCCAAAACCCTAGTTGCTCAATACTCAGGTTATAGACCAGTATCTAGATGCCGTCCAGGAGAGCTAGGCCTTGCTGGAAATGTTCAGATTTTGGGAAGAAGTGATGGAGAAGTAGGTTACTGGTGTACCTTCAACCCATGAATCTGTCCACTTTGAGTTCTCTATTTCCAAATTGAAAACACTGTTTGTAGTTAGGAAGAAGAATTTTCCAAACCTCTCTTATTGGAAAAACTGTCTTACTATAAAATCTCAAAAACCCCTTAAGGAGTAAGTAAGGATTAAGTACTTAAAGTAAATAAGTATGAGTTTTTGGTAGAATATTTGGATCCTTTCTCAGGTTCTCCAACCAGTACTATCACCCTGATATGAAGCAAAGTGACTTCCATACAGATCATTGCCCCACTCAAGCTCATGATAGAGAAGGTCAAAGGCATGGACCCTTGCTACATTGATCACACCATATTTATGAAAACTGGTGTCTTCTCCAAACATCTGCTTATAGCATTGCCATTGCATACTCTGCTCTAGTCTTAGGAAAAATGACTATTTCCTGGGAAATTGCATGGCAGTGGGGTGGAGGTGCTTCCTGACTTGTAGAGGAAGCTAGCAACTATGGAGCCAATCCTAGTACTTTTTGCTCTGGGTCTCTTATTCTCTCATTTTCAAAAGCTGTTTAAAATGAAATATCAAGTTACAGGCAGGTCATTTTATCTGGAGTGAATCATTTGAGGAATTGAAGTGCTGGTCAGCTGTACTTCATTGACTTTGCAAGGAAAAGAGAAGAATAACCTCAAAAATGTCATGTCCTTCAAGGAATGGTGGCATTCCGGGAAGAAAATTCCATGCAATTTAGAGAGGACAGATTTCTCTAGAGACAGAGCAGAAATTCTAGTAGTTCACCTTAAAAAGAGCCTTATAGGGGCACCTGAGTGGCTCAGTGGGTTAAGCCTCTGTCTTCAGCTCAGGTCATGATCTCAGGGTCCTGAGATCAGGGTCCTGGGATCGAACTCCGCATCAGGATCTCTGCTCAGCAGGGAGTCTGCTTCCAACCCCCCCCCCCCCCCCCCCCCCTCTCCCCCCTTGTGATCTCTGTCTTTCAAAAAAAAAAAAACTAAAAAAAAAAAAAAAAAAGAGCCTTATAGTTTCCTGGGAATATAAGTACTCTACAACATAAAGGGGAGGGGATCCAAAATATATGTAATTTGCTGTAGTCATTCATTATTTTTATCAGATTGAAGGAAGCAAAGGAAACCAAGAAGAATGGAAATTGTGAAAAGATTTTGCCAACATTTACTAAACACTTATTATGGGCTAGACATTGTGATAAGCACATTACAGCGATTTTATCATTTATTCTTTATAATATCTCTGAGAGGTAGGGATTATGATTATGCTCATTTTATTTATGAGAAAATATGCTGAGAGTTTAAGTAATTTCCCCAAGGTCACACAGTTAATGTGGCAAAGCTAAGTCTTTGGGATCATGGTATCCGAATTAGTTCTTATTGAGAGTCAATCTGGTGCAGCAGTAAAAGGCTTTGAGGCGTGTTCTGACCAAAAAGTATGTGTTGGGATGATTTGGCGGTCATTTGATTTTCTGTTGTTCCTAGAGCCTTGAGATGTACCCATTGACATTTACATTGGACTTCTGTTGGCTAATATTTTCCGCTATCTTGTTAAATCAGTTGGTCGGTGCGGCTGAGATCGTGGGTTTGCTCTGCATGAATAGTTTACGTCTTCTCTGTAGCCAGTTATTTTGCTAAACCATGATCTCCATCACAAAGAACCAGGATGAGAGAAAGTAGACAGAACTGTGCAAGATGAGAGGTACAAGATTAAATTGGGGGAAAACAAAGTACACCATTGTGGTGAAACCATTACCCAAGTGCTAAGTGCGCCTTCAGAAGTTATATCCTTTGGTGCTGGGGTGAGGAGTAAATTGAACATAATTTCTCCCTGCCCCCTTCTTACAGCTCCTCATATTCTCTCTCTGCCTTACTCTATTTCCCATATCAGCTACAGGCCCAAGAAATGACCTAGAGCTTTAAAACTTTCTGTGTAGAGGCAGAAGGCGGCTGTGAACCTAGGAGGTGGCATGGAAAAGAGCGATGGTTCTCTTCCATCCTGGTTGTCACCACTAACCAAAGTGTAGGCTTAGGTGGGACCGATTGCAGGTCCCTCCTCAGCCGTTTCAGCCCTTTACGCTCATGACCCGGCACCATGACGCGGCATCTCTGAAAACGAAGGACAGTAGTACCCAGAGATATCAACCCAGGAGTTTAGCTGAGGCTGATTGTGGACTGCACGTGTAGAAACGCGCCTGACTCCAGGTTGAAATGGAGATGATTTTTCTTTGCCCTCGTGAGGCAGCCCTGACCCCCAGCAAGAGTCAAGGAGTTCGTTTGACTCCATGTCAATCCCAGACTGACGGCCAGAGGGCAGCATCTAGCTAGTGTTGGTGAGTGACTCGCATTTCCCCTCCCACACTATTCCACTCCGGATTCAATTCTGTTGCTAGGGAGAAGCAACTCTGAGCGCAAACATCGTTGGTATCTTGAATGTTTAGGAAGTGGAACGGGAGAGGCAGTCAGAGGATGGTGGAAAGAGTACGGATTTTAGATCCAGAGAGAACTGGTTTCCTTTCTTTAATGAGTCCACCAAAGCAATTTCTCTAATCCATATCACAGTGCTTTCTTTGTTGTTGTTCCAGAGGTTTCTGTTTGTTAATTTCTAACTCTGTAAAACAAATGTTTATTTCCCTCCATCAAGAGGGGACAACACAAAGATCTTGCAACCAGAGACGATGGATAATTACCAACAGCTAAGGACAAGACAGGATAGATGCATGACAATAGATAGACTGTATCACCAGGGCCTAGTATTTTGGGTTGTACATACACCCGGGGGGGGGTAATAAAAGACACAATCCATGTCCTTTTTTTGTGGAGATTGTGCTGTTTAAATTTATTTTTTAAATGTTTCTTAGCTTAATGATCAATTCCACAAGCCTGGAAAACACTTTCACTCTCTATATCCATTTCATTTCATTTGTTCACAAGCTCACTCATTATGTTCATTTATTTAGCCAATATTCACTACCTTCAAAGCACAGTGGCTAGTTACTCTGCTTTCCTAGGGGCTCTTTATAGACGATGAACAGGATTTCCAAAAGGATCTGATTTTAATACCACAGGAAGAACAGCCATAGAAGAGGAAAGGCTACCCCCAGTATTACTCTGGCCTCTTTTCTGCACCTTCCTCAGTTCCAGATGTAAGGAATGAAAATCAGTTCTTAAACTTGCTCTGACATATCATGAGTGTATCCAAACTTTCGGAAATCGGAGTCTCCAGAGTACCAAAAACTCCAAAGATCCTATGACCAGAGAATTACCTCAAGAGATGGTCAACTCCAGTTTCCCTTAGATCTGCCATTTCTTCCTATTCCCTCTCTGACCACAGAGGCCAGACGCACTGGAGAACCACATGGTCAGTGTCTGTCCTGAGTCGCTGTACTCGATGAAGCGAGTTCTCTCCATAAAAGAGATGGGCTCTAGTTTTCAGAGAAAAACACGTTTTGCAAACTATTCGCTCTTGGGAAAACAAGACGGAAAAAGTGAACAGTGAAGAGTGGGGGAACTGATCCAAATAAGGAGGAAAGAGGAGACTAGAGTTGAGGCAATGTCAATTTGCCATTCCCCACACCACTCCCCAGTGCCGCATCTCACCTTCCTTTCTCCTGCCCCTTGGGTTTCCATCTAGGCATCTCCAAGGCAGTGATGGCTCTCCAGAGGACCCGTTCACTTCTTCTGCTCTTGCTGCTGACCCTGCTGGGGCTGGGGCTGGTGCAGCCCTCCTACGGCCAGGATCGTATGTATCACCGATTCCTGCGGCAGCATGTGGACCCTGAAGAGACAGGTGGCAATGACACCTACTGCAACTTGATGATGCAAAGACGGAAGATGACCGTGCGTCAGTGCAAGCGTTTCAACACCTTCGTCCATGAAGACATCTGGAACATTCGTAGTATCTGTAGCACCACCAATATCCAGTGCAAGAATGGCAAGATGAACTGCCATGAGGGTGTAGTGAGGGTCACAGACTGCAGGGAGACAGGAAGTTCCAGGTTCCCCAACTGCAGATACCGGGCATCGGCGAGC